TTCCACCGCTGTCTGTGCCCGGACGTAAGCTTCCTGGGCAGAGGCTGTGTCCCTGCGAATGTCGCCGCCCAGGGCTTTACCCATGTGGGGACCTAACCCAGTGACGCCCCCTCCCCAAGGACGCCCCTCGCAGCCCAGGGTGCCTGAGGGCATCTGCCCCCCCTCAGTGCTCCCCCGGACCCTCCGCACACACCCCTTAGCCCACCTCCACTTCTAGGACTGAACCCACTCAATGTGTCCCCTGTACTTGCAGCTGAGAATGTTCATTATGACCAGTCTACACTCAACAGAAGTTTTGCCTTTTCGTTGTGCGATCTGTGCCTTCTGTCCTGGAGTCAGACTCGACTCGCGCAGCCCAGAGGCCTCCTCCGTCTGCTCTTTCTCCTCGCAACCCACCGGCTCACACTTCACCCTTGGTGGTGTCTGTGCCGCGCAGTCCTGTGGTTCGGAGCCCGTGGACCCCGGCCGGCGGTCGGCTCTGGGAGGCAGGAGCGCTGCCCACTCCTGCTGCGAGCCCAGTGCCTGTGGCCTGGGACAGTCCACCCCTCTTCCCATCTGTGTGTGCCAAACCGGCATTTTTAAAAATGTTTTTTATTTATTTTGATCGGGGGGAGGAGAGAGACAGAGACAGAGAGTGCAAGCGCACTCAAGTGGGGGAGGGACAGAGAGAGAGAATCGCAAGCGGGCTCTGCACTGCCAGTGTAGAGGGGGACTTGGGACCCCAACTCGCAGACTGTGAGATCATCGGAGCCGCAATCAAGTCTGATGCTCAAATGAACAAGCCCGCCCGGTGCCTCACCACGTGGGCACCTCGGATGCCAGCACCCGGAGGTTTGCAAGGATGTGCCTGACTCTGCCCAGGTCTCCTTGGAGAGTGCACTCCTGCGCTGGAAGAAAATGCTGATGTGGAAACCAGCCCTGGAAGACGGGGCAGGGTCTGTGTCTCTGGGTTCCCATTATTCTGGGTTCCTGGACCTGGAGAATTCTCCAGCACCGTCTGCCGGGCAAACAGCAACAGCTGGGTAATTTCAGTGAGTAATTACTGATAGTTTGAAAATCCTACTGGCGCTGATGCAGAAGGAGACACTTAACCTGAGATGAGAAAGATATACCGTATTCCCATTCATCTCGAATAAGGCACAGCACGAGCCCTCTACCCCTCTTTAGGCCAAACGCAACCTGAAATTCTAACTCTCCGAGACCAATTTAAAGCAGATTCTAAAACACAAATGTCTGGCTCTGAAAATGTGGATCCGCCGTGATTGAAGCATCACACAGACTCTTCATTGGGAGGGATTCTAGCGCTTATGGGGGAGTTCTGGGCGGGGGGAATCCTGAAATCAAGAGGAAGCATTTATTGGGTGTCCGTTCCCTCCCAGGACCTTACGGGAATCGCTCCTAACGCTCCCGTTGCAGGGGATGGATTTTACTGTCCTTTTGCCTCGGGTGACGTTGAGGTCTCTCCAGGGCAACACAGCTGCAGCGTGAGATTGGCTGCAGTGTGTTTATAGTGTGCTGGTAATGCCCCCCAAACCCTCACTAGCCAGCAGTTAGCCCTTTAGCAACACTCCACAGGCTACCAAGCCCCTGGGCTCCAGTGGCCTGAAAGGTCACACCCTGGGGGTCGGCTCATCAGCCTAACTCCCTCCGGCCTTTACGTCCTGAAGGGGCTGCGGAGTGAATCATGGAAGAACTTCCATCTGTCTGCACAGCTCCCCGGGGAGGGCTCCCTGCAAAGAGAAGCCTAGACCATAGTTCTCAGAGTGAGGGCCCCACACCAGAAGCACAACGTCACCTGGGCACTTGTTAGGATGTCAAAACCTCAAGCTCTTGCCCAGACCTTTGGCATGAGAAACTCTCGGAGTAGGGCCCCGAAATGTGCGTTTCAAGAAGCCCCTTAAGTGATGCCAGCACTTGCTGGATTTGACAGCCACCAAGCTAGGCGGTGGTCCGAGGGCTGGGTCCAGTCTGTGAAATGAGACAACAAATTAAAAAAAGAGACGCTATGTCTGCAGACAAAGAGCTGGGAGGGAAGGCAAGATGGCGGGGAATGGGTTCAGGGTAGAGCCTTGGATTCCCCGCAGGACTGGCTGGCTCTGGGTTGGCGGAGGGAGCTGACTAAATCCGCGCCAGCGCCTCAGCTCTCGACACCGTGCACGTTCAGCTTTGCAAATTCCGACCTTGCATCCACTTACTGACTCGTTCACCCACTGAACAAGCTCCAGGTAGCACCACGATGCAGGTGTTTTGTGCAAGGGAACGACAAAAGTCACTCCTCCAATCATAAATAACTCACCCGCCAGAGGGGAAAACAGTCGGGTGGGTACAATTATGACGCAGTGGCCCCTGTGATCAGGAAGTGCCCCTGAACTCAGAGGAGACAGGGAGCCCCTCAGCCACCTGTCCTACCCGGGCGAGCTTTGCTCTACGTTACACCACGTGCTTCTTACAAATAAGCCACAAGCTATGATCCTCTTCGTTATCCAGAGAAGGATGTAAGAGCAGAGGGAGGTGCAGTGACCCTTCCAAGGACACACGGCCTTTGAAGGGCCGGCCCGGCTTCTGTCCCGCCCTCCGGGGCTGACTGCAGTTCCCTGTTCTCTGCGTGGCTGGGCCTCTGCCCGGGGCTCTGCGCTTTGTGACATTAATGCTAATAGATCGCCAACAAGAACGCGCTGGGCCTTTCCTTTTTGTTTGAGCGGCTCCTGCAAGAACAGCACTGCGTTTCTTATTAAGGCGCGATCCACTGTTTGAGAAATACAAAGAGATGATGAGGCTTCTTTTTCCAAATTAAATCCACATTTAAAAACAATCACAGTAAAGTCCCTCCTCTGACCTATTTCCATCCGTTTGCTGCGACGTGGCCCTCACTGCTCGGGCCTGGCCTCTCTGCCGGGCCACCGACTGCCTTCTGCCTGGAGTTTTCTGTGATCAGCCTGATTTCCAAAAGCCGCAGAAGCTATTCACGACACGGTGGCGCTCTTGAAAGGCAGAGTCGGGTATTTATTCCAGCGCATGAGAGACTTTGTTTATTTTGTTTGTTTAAAACGTCTGTGGCGAGGCGGTGGGGTGGGGGTGAGTGCCCGCCTGGCCCGGAGTGGTCTTGGGTGGTATCTTATCACTCTCGCTGGGACGCCCACAGGGAAGGTGCTGGGCGAGACCGGGGGGAGCACGAAGCTCTCGGCTGTGTGTTGTAGGGGGACCGACCGGGTGGGCCTGACAGCCACCCCACCCCCCCGCCTGGAGAGTGGGAGAATGGGTCACAGAGACCCTAAAGGAGATAGCGATCCAGGGGATTTATGCAAAATGACATCCTGATCTGTTCGGGGGGGGGGGGGGGGGTACCACGTGGGAACGGTGAGTCTGCAATCAGCCGTGTTGGAAACCCGGCTTGAACCTTTCACGAGTTGTTATCCGGAGCTCACGGTGTCGATGGGCTCACAGAACCCGCGAGAATCTAACTGCGGGGGTGCCCAGGAGCCAGTGGGGTAGACTGTGGCACACCCCTGCTCAGCACCCCAGCCTGCTGGGCCTAAAAAAAATTTTCTTTAATGCTTATTTATTTGTGAGAGAGACACACACACACACAGAGCATGAGCAGGGGAAGGACAGAGAGGGAGACCCAGAATCGGAAGCTGCTGCAGGCCCTGAGCGGTCAGCACGGAGCCCGGCGCGGGGCTCGAACTCGAGACCCTGAGATCCTGACCTGAGCCGCCCAGGGGCCCGTACTGCGCTTTTTATATTCTTCCCTCCAGCCCTGCGCTCCCAGGCGGCGCTTCCTTCCTTAAAGCCTTCTTCCTTTCTTACGGATTTATTGAAATGGCCCAGATTTGACACCCCACCTTTCCTACGCAGACGGCACCCCCAACCCCACCCCCAGGTGTCCTTCGGGTCTTAGTGGCCCGTGTGGCCTGATCTGGACTGTCCTGGTCTGTTCGCCGCTTCTGCTGTGCAGAGCCCTCGCTCCGCGGGCCTCTCTGGTCCCCCCGCCCCCTGGCCCCCCCGCTGGCCCCCGCCCCCTGCCCCCCCCGCTGGCCCCCGTCCCCCCCGCCCCCTGTCCCCCCCGCTGGCCCCCGTCCCCCTGCCCCCCCCGCCCCCTGCCCCCCCCGCTGGCCCCCGTCCCCCCGCCCCCCCGTCCAGCCTGGGGGACCCGCCAGCACGCGGCGGGCGGCGTGGGTACGAGACCCGACGCCGCCAAGCGTTACCGCTCCCAGGCCCCTCCTTACGGTTTCCGGATCCGGGGGGTGGACGTCCGGCCCGGAAGCGCCTGCACGTCGCGCACGAGGCCCGGGATCTGGCGCCCGGAACCGCGGGGGGTGTCGCGTGGAGCCCGGCCCCACCCCCACCCCCACCCCCACCCCCACCCCCACCCCAACGCCCGCGCGCTTCCGTGTCGCGAGAGGAGCTGCCACGACGCGATTACGCTTCTGGGTTAGAACTTAATAGAAATGCCTCGGCGGCCGGGTGCGTGGGCTGAACACACTTCCGGGACGCGCGGAGGCGGCCGCTTCCTCCCGCCACTGCGCCTGCGCGGCGTCTGCGCCTCCCTCCCGGTCGCACCCTCCTGAGGAGCGCGGCCCCGCGCGCGAGGGGGGCCGGACTCCCCACCCGCCCAGCGGCGCAGGGCTGCGTGGGGGCAGCGGGCCTGGGTCGGGGGAGGCCGTCCAGGCTCCTGCGCCCCGGGCAGCCCCCTCCCTCCGGACGGCGTCGCCCGGGACGCCCCCACGCTGACTGCGCGTCCCCGCCCGGGCCGTGGCCGGGGAGGCGCGACCCAGCGGGTGGAACGGGGGGCGCGCGAGGCGGCCGCGGCCCTCAGGCCTGACTGCGGGTGTGGCCGTGCCCCCCGCCTCGGACGCGCCAGCGTTGTGACCGCGGCCCGTTGCCCTGCCCGACGACCGACGCAGAGTTCCCGCTGACACAGCCGCTCTCGGCCCGTCCCCGTCTGTGACATGGGGGCGGGACGAGGGGTGGTCACTCCGTCCCGTCCGTGTCAGCCAAGCATGTCCAGCGCCTCCGTGACGTCGTCACCGAAGCCTGGCGGGGCCCCGGGTTCACCACGGCCCGAGCGGGGCGCCGACCCCTCCGCAAACCCGCCCGGCCGCAGGGTCCGCGCCGGGGCAGGGAGGCGTCGCTGCCCGCCGCCTGCCTGGTGCCCCCGGCCCCTCGGCGATGGGCCCCTCCCCTGTCGCGACCCCGGTCCATTCTCCAGGCCACCGTCGTGTGTCCCCGCGCCCGGCTCCCCGCCTTCATCCGACGCTTCGCGACAGCCAGAAGGACGCTTTTCCATCCAAAGCGGCATCACGGACTCGGCTGTCACCTTCCGAAGCTCCCACGCCGCGTCTGCAGCCGGATCCGTCGTGGGCGCCCGGCCCCCAGGTCCGCACGGCCCGGCTGCCCGCTCCTCCTCCCTCACGAAGTGCCCCCACCCCTGCACTACACTGGGGGCCCTGTCCTGACACCCCGGACGCCGCGCCCGCCCGCCCCTCCTCCCCCACGAAGTGCCCCCACCCCTGCACTACACTGGGGGCCCGTGTCCTGACACCCCGGACGCCGCGCCCGCCCGCCCCTCCTCCCCCACGAAGTGCCCCCACCCCTGCACTGCACTGGGGGGCCCTGTCCTGACACCCCGGACGCCGCGCCTTGAAGCAGCGCCTCTGGCCCCTCGGCCGAGTCTTTCTCACCCTCTTGACCTCGGAGGCTGTTCCCGCCTCGTGGCTGTGAGGGCAGCACTTTGAGTGTCTGCCTTTCGGGCCACAGAGACCCCTACCACACTGGGGGGGGGGGGTGCCCAGGGGCCGTCTGTGGAGGGCATCGAGGACCCAGCGAGGAGAGAGGCTGGCGCCGATTGCCGCCGGGGGGCGCCGGTCGTCCGGGGCCGGGCCCTGCGCCTCGGCGGGTCTTGGGCCCCTCGCCCCCCGGCCCCCCAGCCGGGAGCGCCCCGCCCACAGTCCCCGCGGGGTACCCCGTCCTGAGCGGGGAGCACCGAGGAGCCTGAACGCCGTCATGTCAGGTCTCCGCACACCAGCCCCGTGCGCGCGGATGGGGGGGTGAGGTCATAGAGGTCAAATGCCAGCCGCCCACCGTCCCCGCGTTGCTAAGGTGGGGGAGGGAGGCTGGGACCCAGGCCCCGCTCCAGGAGGCCGGCTCGAGCTCCCCTTCTCAGGATGCCCGGAGCGCCCGCGGCCGCACTGCCGGAGGCTCTCGGTGCCCCTCCCCTCGCACCCCTGCCGTTGCAGGGGTGCCATCCCGTGAGCTCCCGCAGGGCAGGGAGCAGGCCTGGCCCCCTGGCACAGGCTGGGAGCAGAGCAGGTCACAAACAGCGGGACCCGGCGCGGCGCATCGTGAGGGGTGGGGACCGGGGACACGCGCAGGGGCGGGGGGGGGGGGCTTCGCCTCTGAAACACTGAAGCACGGGGGGTCCCCTGGGTTTTCTGCATCCTCCACTGGTGCTCGGACAGATGGGAGAGCAGGAGCCCAGGAGGGCTCCCCATCAGCGCCCTGTGCAGGTTGTCTCCCCAGAGTGTGGGAGCCCAGGAGCCCCGGGGCGTGACGTCCTCCAGGCCGCGGGGGGGGGGGGGGGGGGGGGGGGGGGGACGCGGGCGCAGCCCTGCCTGCTGGGCGCTGGAGCCTGGAAGGGTGGCTGTCCCTGGGAGACAAGCCAGCGCACGGCCACGTAAGGCGGGAGGGAAGAGGCCAGAGCGGGCCGCTGTCTGCTCTCGGACGTTTCTTGCGAGGGTCACTGAGGGACCCTCTGCCGAGAGCCGCACTCCAGAGCATCCTCGGCCAGGCCGACAGCGGACACCGCGGGTCTACACCCCCCTCCCCACCCAGAAAGACGGTTTACAGAAGCAAAGCGTCCAGCTTGTCGGCACTCCAACCCGGGGGCCAGGACACTCACCAGCACCCTGCCCCGACGCCGGCTCGGGGTCACCAGGGTCCCTCCCAGCAGCTAGCCCCCACCCGGCGCCTCGTCCGGGCCAGTGGTCCTCATCCACAAGCTCTTCCCCCCCCACCCCCACCCCTTTTGGGTGACATTTGGCAAAATGTGATAACATTTTTCCGCTGTCACAGCTGGGGAGGTGCTGGCCTCAGGTGGGTGGAGGCCGGAGATGCTGCAGCACCCAGGAAGCTCTCTCACAGCGGAGAATCATCCAGCCCGGATGCCGGCGGTGCAGAGGCTGAGAAGCTCTGGGGACTGGGCTCCATGTGCTGGGGTTTCCTTGCGCGACGGGCGTGAGACTGAATCGCAGCTGACAGACTTGAGTGGAAGTGTGCTGCGGGGTCTCCGAGAAACGCTCTCTCGCTCCTGAGAAGAGGACTGGAAGAGACCATTCTCCTTCTTCTGGCTGTTGTGTTCAGATGTGATGTCTGGAGCCGGTGCAGCCACCTTGAGACCATGAAGGGACTCAGCAACATCCAGCAAAGTGGGAAACGCGTGTGACATTTAATCCAGCAATTTCCCTTGTGGTATTTGCTGCGGAGAAATCCGTACGTGAGCACATCAGAGACGGACATACAAGCACCTCTCGCACCATGATTGTCCCTAAAGCCCAGGAACACATGGTATTTGTGTGAAAATGAATAACTAAAATGGGATGTAACTAAAACACGTGAATATTCAGCACTGAGAGTGAGTAAGCTCTATAAATAGGTGCATGTCACAGACATAACGACGGAGTATGAAGTACAAAGTAACCTTTGTTCCCTCACCACCTCACCACCCTCAGTGGCTGAGACCCTGACTGACGATTCGCTGTGAGGCAGACGTGCACTTGGGGCAGAAAGGAGGGCACTTTTCCGTATGGTCTTCCTCTGTGTGGGTTGCTTTCACAAAATGTACTCACGACTGGGGACTTACACAACAGAAATGCATTGCTCAGGGTCCTGGGGGCGGGCAGCCCGAGGACAGCCAGCAGGCCGGGTCGGGGGAGGCCCTTTCTGGGTGGCAGAGAGCTGGCTTCTCTTCCGACGTCCAAGTGGCAGAGAGCAAGCTGTCCCACGAGGCTCGTACGGGCACCAATCCCGTTCACAAGGGCCCCAGGAGGGGTGAGGGAGGGAGGGCGGCCTCATCAACGGCAGGGGAGCAGCGCAGGAGTGACCAGGGGCCCTATGCACAATGAAGCCACAGGCCACTACAAGCAAATTCATGACACCGCGGTGCTGGGGTGCATCAGTGACCCAGATCTGATCCCCTTCGATGGCAGCCAAGTAAGGCAGCAGATGGGCCAGGCCGGCAGGGAGGCAGGCGAGGGGTACAGCAGGGCGTCTTCTGGAAAGAGACATCTAGACTCTCATCACGTGGCATGACTTCGGATCCTCTGTTGGCCATTAAACTGCAAATAGGTAAGTAAGCTGCTCAGAGAAGATTCTTCTAACCCTGGCCTACTCTGATCCGGGCGCTTAACCAACACTGTTTTCCTCCATCTGTGACACGCCTCTCACAAAACTCAAAACCGCCCCTTCAGGGACCCGTGTACATATTACCCTGTCCTCTCCTCGTTCAGCGACCTGGCGCTCATTCCGTCTTTCCTTCCCTCAGGCTGCGGCCGGATTGTCTTGTTTTATTTTGGAGACACTGTTAAGCCCGGTGTTCTTTACTCTCGGATTGACTGTTTCTCACTGCTTATTCCCCTTAGTGTCAATGTATCTGTTATTAGTGTGATCGCCGACTGGGGGGGGGGGGGGGAATCGTCAGAATGGAAACACTGTCCCCGTGTGTTGTACGAGACATACACACTGTAGTCATTACAGTGATACATTCCAATGCGAGTCCATGCTCAGAATCAAGTTTAAAATATGGAAAATGTGGGGCGCCCCGGGCGACTCAGTCAGGCGTCCGACTTCGGCTCAGGTCATGATCTCAGAGTTTGTGGGTTCCAGCCCCGCATCGGGCTCTGTGCTGACAGCTCAGAGCCTGGAGCCTGCTTTGGATTCTGTGTCTCCCTCTCTCTCTGACCCTCCCCTGCTCATGCTCTGTCTTGCTCTCTCTCAAAAGTAAATAAAAACATTTTAAACATTTAAATATGGAAAATGTAAGCGCTCTGTGACACATAATGAGCAAGCTGATGGGAAGATGGTGGAAAGCTCCCGAAAGGGGTGCAAAGATAACTGCTTAGACCATGAGCAATGGCCTTTCTCTCATTGACAGTTTCTCCGAGTCTGGGATATCAGCAGCAATTAGGATTCAAATTAAAATTTTCCATTATAATTGCTCAGCATTCAGAATCTCTGTACTGGACAAGGACCCAGCCCAACTGCTTCTCTCTGATATTAAAACAGGATTAAAGACTTATTATGTGTTTCATTTGGTACCATTACACGTGGCCCCAGGTCCTGCACTGTTTGCTTCTGACAATTATAATATAAAACTGTAGTTGTTATTTAATTTATTTATATATTTAATTATGCTATTTAATTAAAGATATTTAATTAGATATACTTTTGCTCCTGATATTATACTCTTATAATTCAGTTTCAAGAAACTGAAACTAATGCTTGATGAGATCACTGTTCTGTTGCATGTGATCATGAGCTACTCACAGACCAGTTAAAAAGGAAACTCGTTAAAAGATAAGGCAATTATTTTTGTGACTTTTTGCTCCACGGCTTTTGAAGAGCGTCTCGTGCATCGCATGGGGATTTTAGTTTTGTGAATTATTTTTAGTAACGGTATCAGTTTAATATTTTAATATTTCTGCCTACTTTAATAAGGAACCATTTCTGCTTAACAAAATTCTCTGCATTTTTAAGTGTTTATCTTTTCCACTTAAATCATATAAGTATCTCTCCCGTTGGCTTGAAATCTTACTGAAAATATCCTTATTTCCTTCACATGTCCTTAACTGTGGGCTAGAATACGTTTTCTTGACTCTACCGTATTCGCCAATTTATTCCCTATTTCTTTTATTTGCTACTGTATACAGAAATTGTACTGTTTTTTAAATCAAATTCCAGAATATAAAAAGTTATATGACATACATGTTTAAAATCATTCAAAATGATATTACATTTTATATACACATGGTTGTGTGTTATATATAATTTTAATAGAAGCAAATGTTAATTTAAATATAAGTTAACATCCAGCTTAGACACATCTATGGAAAATGACAAAAGCTTACTTCGAAGAATTCCAAAACACTATTTTGGAATCAGACATACCTGGCAGAAAAAGTTATAAGTCACATAGAGTTTGTATATAATCAGCAAATTCATCTTCACTAACACATGCAGATTTTTTTCAAAAAAATTTTTAATGTTTTATTTCTGAGAGAGAGACAGACAGCATGAGCAGGGGAGGGGCAGAGAGAGAGGGAGACACAGAATCTGAAGCAGCTCCAGGCTCTGAGCTGTCAGCACAGAGCCCGACGCGGGGCTCGAACCCACAAACTGTGAGTTCATGGCCTGAGCCGAAGCCGGAGGGTTAATGGACTGAGCCTCCAGGCGCCCCTAACACATGCAGATTCTTATGCCCCTTGAATAGAGTGAGTTTTTTCATGTACACACATACACACCCCACGGGGATGGGCGGTTTTTTTTCCTTTTAATTTCGTTTTTGAAATAAATTGTTTCAGGGGCCCCTGGGTGGCTCAGTCGGTTGAGCATCCGACCCTGGATTTCAGCCCGGGTCCTGACCTCAGGGTGGTGGGATCGAGCCCTGAGCCGGGCTCCGCGCCGAGCCTGGAGCCTGCTGGGGACCCTCTCCCCCTCCCCCCTGCCGCCGCTGAGTGAACAAGTACACGGTCTCCTCTCCTACGGTTTGTGTTTTCACTGTGCTGAGCCGGCACCGACTCCCATTTGGACGTCTGTTCACCAGCAAGAGGATGTTCTGTCCGCTGTCGCCACCTAACAAATGACCCAGACTCCCTCCCAGGAACGCCGCGGAACGCCGCTGCTGTGGTTTTGTGACGCTCGCGGACGCTGTGGGCCCGAGGCCTGGGGCCGGAAGGGCTGCCAGCTGCGCCCTGCGGGGGGGCTCCGGGGTCCCCTCTGCCTCACGCCCCCTTCCGGCCGCGCGGGCCAGGGGCGGGGCTTCGTGGGGCCCTGGGGGCGGGGCTTCGTGCGGCCCTGGGGGCGGGGCTTCGTGCGGCCCTGGACCGGGCCCTGGGGGCGGAGGGGACTCTCCGTGCGGCCGCTCTTCTCCCGCCCGCGGGGGTGGGGGGCTGGCTTGTGAGCGGGGCCGTCGAGGCTCGGCCGCAGGACAGCACCGGGAGCTCTGCGCCCAGCCTAGCCCAGGGCCCCAGAGCCCTGGATGGGAGCTGGGGGGCGGGCAGCCGCGCGGGGACCGGGAGTGACCGGTCACCTGCCCAGCACCTGTCCCCGAGGAGCAGGCCGGGCGCGTCGCCTGCGGGCCCAGCGCCCCCTGCTGGCGGCAGAGAGGAGGCCGGCGGTGGGGGCCGAGCGGAGCACCTGCCGGGCAGGGGACCCTCTGAGCGCTGGCGCCGGCCCCGGAGACCGCGCTGCGGGCAGGCCACCCGGCTCTGGGGAACCCCCCCGCCCCCCGAGTGCGCGGGAGCCGCTGGGGACAGCCGACTGTGAGGACACCGAGTCAGGCCGGGGGCTCGCCCGGTCCGGCCCAGGGGAGACGCCCATAAGGGCGGTGAGGCCTTGGGGAGCCTGGCGTGGCCGGGTGCGCGCATGAGACGAAATGGGTCCCTCGGCCCCGGGAAGCGGGCAAGGTCTCAGCCACAGCAGGTGAGGAAGGGGTGCTGTGAAGGCGGTGCCGGGCGCTGCCCCAGGAGGCGCAGACACGGCCAGGGTGTGGGAGCCGGGCTGCGGCGGAGCGGGGGGCAGGGCCCTTCCAGCCGGGACCCCAGGGTCCCCCCCAGGCCGCCTCGTGGAGGGGCAGCCAGGGAAAGGGGGCGCCTGCCAGAGGGACGGAGGGGCCTGTGAAGGAGGCGGGCTCTGCGCTCAAGCCCTCCGGCCTCACTGGGACAACCCCAGGGCGCTCAGTCCCGTGTGGGGGGTGGAGGAGGCCGGCGGTGTAGAAAACTCCCTTTCTGCAGAACCAGATCCAGCGCCTGGAGGAGCCGGGGAAGGAACGTGCCTCCTGCGGCCGAAGCGGCTTGGAGACCCTCCCCTGCCTTCGGAACAGGCTTTACCCTCTGGTGCTGACACAGCCACCGGGTTCAGGGTTCGCCCTGCGATCCGTGGTGTAGCCTGACCCGCCCGAGATCAGAAGAGAAGAAACCCGGCTGGGAATCAAGCCTGTGAGCCCTGGCGTTGCCGGGCGGGGAAGCCGCGGGGCCCAGCCCAGGACGCACACTGGGCAGAAACACAGGCCGTCAGGCCCGAGGGGAACCCTCGGGGGTGCAGGGGTGTGTCCGGGCACCTGGGAGCCGGGACTCAGAGTGACCCGGACACATGGCCGTGGCCTCCAGGCCGCCCTGCTCGCACTTCCCAGAGCAACAGCGAGGGCTCGTTTGAGTGACAGGCTCTGAGGGGCGGCAGCCGGAGCTTTGAGGCAGGATCGGTCCGCCTGGTCCGGTGGGGAGAGGAAGCCCCGTGCCTCTCGCAGGGCCCGGTTGGGGGCTGTGGCGCAGAGGCTGGCTGGGACTTTCCAGCTACGGGAAGTCCTTTCGGCTGAAATCACCTTTTCCCTAAAAAGTGCATATTCCCAGTTCACCTCCCAGCACACAGGCCAAATGCAGGCCTAGCGTGCAGCACGG